AGCTGCCCCTGCTCTCGCAGAGCCTTCACCCCGAAGCCGGAGCGGGGATGATCTGCCCGACTACAGCTCCCAGCAGCCCCGGCCAGGGCGGCCGTGCGCGAGGGATGCTGGGAATTGTGGTTCAGAAGCCATGGAAGGGCCCGCCCGGGTTCAGGCCCAACCTGGCGCCCTCCAGTGGGAGCATGGGAGTCTAGGAGCCCATTATCTTCTGACATGCTGGGGAGGATGGCAGTTGTAGTGCTCCCCGTGGGGGGTTCCAAATTGGGCAAGGCTTCTGCATTCTTGCTGGGGGGCGCGTAGAGGAAACTACACTGCATTTGGGATAAGACTTATGTGTAATTTTAGGCTTTTTTCAGGGTTTTGCATGCTTTTATTCAGATTTCTGGCTCTCGTTCCTTTCTTGCCCATTGCTGGGGTTCAGATCTAATCTCCAAAAGATTTTTGCCCGCCGCCAGTGTAATCAATGGATGCAATATCTTTGTTGTGGTTGCACTGTGGGTACATACCTTTGCAGAAGTAACAACTGTCAGCCATTGATTGATAACATTAAGGCATTTTTTGGGTGGGGGGAAGCGGGAGACAGCCAAAATAAGCAGAAGTAATCCATTGCTGCACGAAACTCACCGGCCAGCAAAAACTTTTGGCAGGCAACAAAGGAACAGGAGTCACTTTTCTTAAGATTATTCTAAATATTGCTTATTATTATTGTTACCTCCCCCCGTAGTCTCCTTTGAGGACAGTCCTGCATCCTTATGATGTTTTCTTTTGAACTGGACCCATAGCTGTCATCTCAAAGCCAGGCCAACGGGATGGAGCAGCCAAGCTACTTCTGAAAAGCTTCTGTGTAAATTCTAGCCATGCTTAATCAAAAAGAAATGAGTTTCCGGAAGTAATTGGGGATTGGTTTTTTTTTTTTAAATAGCCTGCCTTATTTGGATTATGAAGAGAAGCATAATTGCTTTTGTCCTTCAACCGGCTGATGGTTTCACGATAATATGTTACAACAGAAGTCTTTGGCTCTCATTCCTTCCTTTTGAGGGTATCGAATAACTGTCACAAGGCAGATCATGTTGGGCACAGATCCATTTATTTCTTTATTATTTCAATTTATATGGCCGCCCATCTCAAAACATGACTCTGGATGGCTTACAACGATTAAAAGAACTATACAAGATAACAGTATAATAACCATAAAAATAATGGTCTTGAGAAAGCCAATTCCCATTGAATGTGAGAAGAACCTTTAAGAGCAGGTGGACAGTGGGACCCTTGACCAAAGTAGCTGGAGGGCTCCCCTTCATCTCAAAACTGCCCAGCCATCCCTGGAAGCTTTAACTTGGATTCCTACTCTGAGGAGGTTGGACTCAATGGTCTAGTGTCTCAATGAATTGTCGCATTCCGACTCTTAGTATTTTTTAAATATTTATTTATTTATTTATTTTAGTGGGTTTTTTTAGTCTTATTTGTTACTATGGAGGCTGGAGAAGTCTGTCCCTCCCTCTCTGGTAATTGACTATCTCAGAGTCCCTGTGTGTTCTCCTTAATCCCTATATCTTGGCATGGTGTTGCTTTTATACTGGATGGAATCTCCTAGAACTATTTGCTTTTCTTCCAGGCACAAAACCCCACAGTGAGATCATAAGCAATGGAAACATTGAGATTGTTTCCCTTACAGAGCTCAAAATCTGGCAAGGTAGGATGAATGTTGCATTGTTTCATGAAACATGTATGCAGTATCAGTCACAAATCTGACGTCATAGGAAAAGTCAAGTCAGGTTTATTTGTACAGAAATGTTGCAAAGGTCTGAATAATCTTTCCTTTGTTCGTCAGTCTTTTCTCTCCCTCCACTGGCTCCTTCCTTGCTATTTTTGGCAAATCCAGCAAGAGAGAGGTGGCATAAAAACAAATCATTAGTCAAAGCATGTTGGGATTTGCATGGTCCTTTCTCAATCTTCATCTTCTCTCCAGTTAATTTTTCCTTACACAGATGTTCAACTGAAGTATGAAAACATTCTGTGCAACATATTGACCTGAAACAGATCATTCTGAATGCTCTGTAAATAATTATTTTTATTTATGTATACAGTTTATAGGCCACCTGACTCCCAAGCACTCTGGGTGGCATACAATTAAAGAGTTAAAAAAAATTAAAAAGACAAAAAAAATAATGAGTGGCCAAAACAACATATAACCTATACGGTATATATAGGTTGGATGGAGGGATATATATATATATATATATAGATGGATGGATGGATGGATGGATGGCCAAAACAACATATAACCTATATATATATAGGTTGGATGGATGGATGGACATATCCATCCATCCATCCATCCATCCATCCATCCATCGGGCTCAATCTTCTCTCTGCCCCAAAGCCTGGGAGACTCACTAGGTCTTTAATAGCTTCCTGAACATCATTAGGGTGGGAGCCATCTGGATCTTGGTGGATATCATTCTGGAGGGCAGAAAAGGCATGCTTCCTGGGTCCCCCATTATGACACTGCTTGATTGTTCTGCCTGATCGATAGGAAGGAACTACTGGAGATGGGTGGTCCCTTAAATAACCAGGCTCGAGCCATGAAGGGCTTTATAGCTTTAATCTCTCCCCCTTGTTAACGCTGACCGAAACAGGCCACAAAGAAAGGAGGAGAACCACCACAAAATGGTGCCCTCCCACCCATACTTCACAGCTGGTCCAGAAGGATACTGTGATTGATGGCATCTAAAGCTGCTGAGATATGCAGGAGTTCAAGGATGGACAGGATTCCCATCCCAGCTTCCCCAGGTCATCGACAAGTACAATCAGTGCCAGCTCTGGACTGTAACTGGGCCTGAAACCTGACTGAAATAAGTCCAGATGATCCGCCTCCTGGATCCTCTGGAGCTGAAACTCAACCACCTTCCCCACAGCCTTCTTCCCTTTTTAGGGAAGGTTGGAGACTGGACAGAAATTGTCCAGAATTTATCCAAAGACTTGGGCTGACTTGTGGTGTCTTCCGGTTAATTCCAGAGCACCAGGGACAGCTCTTTTCAGTCTCAGAACATTCTGTGATAGAACATTTTACGTACACCCCAGTGTTCAATTTTAAGAAGAAAATATAAGTTTGAGAACTCCTCTACATTTGAGGAGCATCATGTACTGCCAAACTCTGCATGTTCCAGACTCTGCATTTTAGGAGACTGGTATTCTTAATGCTTTTCTACTCTAAAAAGTTACCTACCATCAAGCTTTGACAAGAGTTTCTTTTCCTTTGCAGTTGGGCCCAAATTTTTCCAGTACGTGATAAAAGTGATTGTGCAGAGTTTCCAATTGTTGTACACATTGCTAAGGATTGCTACACCAGGCTATGTGCTTCTCCAGGTATTTACACTTCCAGGTTTTAACACTAACTTTGCCTCCTAGCTCTATTTAAAGCATAGCGTCAGTCCAGCCTTTTAAAAGCAGTCATAGGGGGAGCTGAGAAGTGCTTGTTTAACTTAGTTTTCATTTGAATATTGTCCTTGGAATAATGTAGCAAAAGATGTAGATGTGGCTGTTCTGGAGCAGAGAGAGAGAGCTGGATAAGAATAACTCACACAATATACAAATGCAATTTATTTATATATTGCTCTCCTTCCTGCTCTTAGGAGTTTATAATACAAAGTTTGTCAGCAGAAGAGAGAGGGCATAGAGGACTCATGTGGAAGGAATGGGGGATATCTGAGGAAGGGATGGGGTTTTCCAGGTTACAGTGAACTACATCGCGCCTTTGGCCGTGGTGGCTAGGACTGCTGGGAATTGTAGTTCAGGAATATCAGACTGGTTGTAGGTGGCTCACCTGGGGTAAGGCCTGAGGGAGAGGTGTTGGGGGGGAAAGGGTGACTTGGCTGGTGCTGAGTTGGTATTCTGGAAAGAAACGACTGTTGCAAGGAGGTGGGTGGAGAAACTAGAAAGCAATTGATCTTATTTACTGGGCCTGTTCTGAAAATATTCTCTTCTCCCCATAACCAGAATCCTCCCGGGTTGCCCAGCATTGCGATCAGCTGGGTGTTTTGCCTACTGCGAAACAGCAAGCTAATTATTGATTGGCATAATTATGGGTATACTCTAATGGGCCTGACTCACGGAAAAGGGCATCCGATAGTCCGGATTGCGAAATGGTTCGTGCAAGACTTTTGATATTTATGGGGTACGCTTGTCCATTGCAAAGTTGTTCCAATGAATTCTGATTTCTTTTCAGAACACCACAAAGTACCCAGGTAGGTCTGTTACCTGTTCCCTCCAGCCCCACTGGGATTTTAAACACTCATTAAGAAGGTGATGATGGAGTCTTGTATTTTTACAAAAAGGTGTAAAAACGACTTTTTCATGGTTCGTTTCGTTTGTTCTCCCTAATTGCATTTCCAGGAGTAAGAATTTCATAAAGTATATTGCTGCATGCTTACACCTAAGTACATTTTTGAAAGTTGCTTCCACCTTCATAACAGCATGTATTTTGGTACCTGAAAAGTGATGACTTCTGATCTAATTAATAGGGCTGTGCGTGCTTTGAGAATAATTTACAAGAAATGGCTTGGATGGGCCTTGCTTCTCTTTGCTATTGATTAAAGCTGACCTCTTTTTTTCAGGTTTCTGCAGAACCCTGAAAAAAAACATACTGTGGCGTCAAGAAGTCAACTCAGTTAACGTTAGTACCACTCTTAAAGCAGCCACAACTTTTTTTTCCAGTTTTCAGGGAAGCCTGAAAAAAGATGCGACTGTTTTGTTTTTAAACAAAATTTCTCGGTATTTATTTTTCAAGAGAGAAAAAGGAAAAAAGGACAGAGAAGGGAAAAAATTGAGACCGTAGAAAAAGGAAGGAAAACGGTTGCCACAAAATTAGATATAGAAGAATTAGATATTTTCAGTAAAAGATTACCATATTTCATCATATCATCCATACATAATTTTCATCTGTAAGCAATTAGTTCATAAGCTACAAACAACCTCAGGTCTTCAATTCACTGAGTAACTGGGGATATCTATTTAACTTTCCAATGTTGAAAGGACAAATCTCTTAGCAATAAAAAAGTTGCATTTCCTTTGTCCAAATGCCAACTTCCATGTAATAGATATGGAGTTTGAAAGAATAAGGATGTCCCAAAATACTAAATCTTGTCTCAGAGTCAAAATGATATTTGAAAAGAGGGGGCTGCTTTAATCAATAGTGGAGAAACATTTTGCTCGCGTGAAGCCCGAAGCACTTTTTTCAAATTATTTTTGAAGTTTGCACAGCTCCAAGGCCAGACAAGGCTAAGTATGTTGAGGTGTGCTTCGCTTCCTGTATTCCACATGCATACACAACCATTATTGTTAGGTTAGAATTTTTGCTTGTGCATTCTTCTTCTTCTAAAATGTGTGCATTTGGGGGTTATAAGGAATTATGTATTATAATTTTTTAATGATGATAATATTCAGTGGTGCAGGATACAAGAAGATTATGGACATATGTAGTATTTCTGTGTTTTGAAAGGATTGAGAAATGATAGACACTAACATTTGGAGCCGTGTACATTTGCTTTCATTTCTATTTCATTTTTTTTTAACAAGCTATGGGAGGAAACTATATTTCTGTACAAACATCTGAGGAAAGTTGTTAGTTTCAGTAACAAGTGAAACTCATTTCTTTTAGGTATGAAGAATTATTTGGCTCCTTGGCCAACTATAATATTTGTGTGACCAGTGCAATGAAAAAGGATCTTCAGGTGAACTGTAATATCAGGTACTTCAGTAGTTTAAAATCACCTGTCTGTTTTTCCCTTGGTTACAACAATGCTATAGACCTATGTGATCCTATTTATTACAGGGGATATTTTGTATCTATTTTTTAAAAAATACTTTTCAATATGTAAGCCATTTTTAAAAAATATTTCTCAAAATGTAAGCCATTTTCACCACTGTCTTCTTATAATAAATGGTTTGATCTATAAATATTTAAGCAGACATAACTACAAAGAAGGCTCCATATTTTGTAGGCTGAAGCTTTTTCACATTATACCTCAAAGGAGCGGAGTTATTTTTGCTCTTTAGAATATAATAGTATTTTGTTCAGCCAGGAACCTGGCAAACAGAAGTAAATTTATTATTTATGAACTATTTCAAGTAGATCAGATATATTTATGAATTTATATCTTTATGGCATTGTTGTATTATTTTTTATCTTAGGATCTTAGTCAAACATTCTGAGCATTATTTTTATTTAAAAAACAGTGCATAAATCAATGTAAGTGGTAATTGAGAGCAGTATCATGTTGTGTACAAATTTTGATTCTGGATATTTGTCAAGAGCCTACATCTCTGTCCAGTCTTGCTTCCCCAAATTTATGCTTAAGGACTGGTCCTCTACAAATCACATGGAGTCCCTGGGAGTCAGGCAGTATACAAATTTAATAAGTAAACAAACATTCAAATATGTCAACTTGCAAACATGATGAACGCTTGAGCACTATTTAGCTCTTTCACAATATATACCTTCTTGCCCAGGAAATCTCTGAGCTAACCTATCTCATTTTACGTACCCCTTTTGCATTTTTGATGGGTTGAAATTATCCTTTTTATTACCTTATTATTCTCTGAGTTTTATTGCTATTATTTGACCATTAAATCTATTGCTTTCTAGAGCAATCACCCTCTACGACAAGCCAGCATCTTTCTTTAAGGAAACACCCCTGAGCGAACAGCACAAATTGTTCATCAGGCTCTCAAAAGACTATGCTCCTTTTAAAACGTGAGTTAAAATGTATTTGTTCTGCACTCTCTTAAATAAAAAATGGGCCTAATTTGAAAACTGTCTCTGCTTCCGAGTATCGTGCCTTTTTAGTAAGACGCATGTTAAATTGTGGCATGTTTATCTGCAATGCCTCATTCAAAAGTATTGGATCCACGGGTAACGAAAAGGTGCAAATCACTTTGGCCCTTTGTAATATTGGAGTGGTCAGAGGGAGCGAATGCCAATTGATGGATGGATTTTAGTGTTGTAATGCTTGCATATAACACTTAGTGGAAAAGTATACTATCAAATTCTGCTCTTGGTTAGAATCTGTATTTATTGATTTTAGATCTGCATTTGATTCAGTTTCAAGGTCTAGTGGTTAAGGCACAAATTCTGGGAGTTGAAGTCCACCCATCTTAAAGTTGCCAAGGTTGAGAAACACTGCTCTAGTGTGTGGCCATTCATTGCCAAGTCTGGATTTTGGAGTATCTGCAAAATGTAAGAACCTTAGCCTGATTGTAGTTAATCTCCAAGGGAGCCCAAAGCTTTTTTCCTGCCTAGGGCATCAGGGACAATATTACTGTATTATCAATACTGTATTATCAATTCCTCCTCCTATTTTCCCCACAACAACAACCCTGTGAGGTGAGCTGGGCCGAGAGCGCGCGACTGGCCCAAGGTCACTCAACTGGTTTTGTGCCTAAGGCAGCACTAGAACTCACCGTCTCCTGGTTTCTAGCCCAGTGCCCTAACCATGACACCAAACTGGTTCTCCTCCTGATTTACCCATTTAGCTCCCTAAGGTGTCAGAGTTTCGTTCTGCTGTTGCAGGCTATAGCAGGGCCTAACCAGTTAACATCTGAGAAAGTGCTTGTGCTTCACAGTACGGACAATGACTTCCTGATGTTCTCTGTTATATTCTGTGTGCTTTTAGTTTTTTTAGGATGGCCTACGACAGTAATAAAGTTTATCTGACTCTTGTATGGCTAATGTAATAGACGTGTGCTTGCTTTAGCAGCAAGCCTGGGGGCATAGGTAAGGGGCTGTATTCCCCTCATCCAGGTCTGAGACTGAATAGCAATGGGAATGCGTATCTTTTGCCAAAATACAGAGCATACAGTGCAACACATACCATCCAGGCGGTGAAGCACCAAGTAGGTGTATTTATAGAACAAGCTATCATATTAATGTTAATCTTGGGTAGGCTTTTATTTTTAAGTGTGTGGCTTAGTGTGTTGCATGAACCCAGCCTGTTTGCTCACATCATGGTTCATTGTATTATCTGGGGGTTCGTTTTGGGTTAATTCAATAAATGGGCGAAGGCTGCTGTGTGGAAGGGCTGTCTCTCCTCATTATCTTATCCTGAGAGCTGTGCATTTTGTACACACGTGTGTGTCTCGGTGTGTATCTGCTGTGAACTTTCCTCGAAGGCGCCCATTTTCTCTCGTTTTCAGTATGGAATCCTTCCCCGTAGATGATGTTGAAAGATCTGCCTTTACACAGTTCGATGTCGTCAGTGGAAGTGCCACGCACCGCCCAGGCCGACCAGCTCTCCTTATTAGCAGCACCAGTTGGACAGGTCTTGACTCTAAAACAGCATTTATCTTATCATTGAACTAAGCTGTGGCTAGTTAAATCAAGCACACTTCGCTGGATTTGCACAAGATGCTAGGCCCAAACCCAACCCAACCCAACCCAACCCAACCCAACCCAACCCAACCCAACCCAACTTTATTGTGAATTAGGACAGCGTATGACTCCAGATGTAATATTTGAGAGAGTCTGTGCATTCAGCTGAGAACTTTGAGTTAATTTTGGACTATTCTGCTATCTGCGGTAAGAGGAATGAAAAATAAGCTATATGATTGCCTACCATCCTCTCTTAATTTAGTTGGCATGCAAATAAAATAATCAAATAGGCACTTAATCAAAGAGTTCAGATAGCCATTGCTGAGGCTGGTTAGCTTTGCTGTCCACATATATTTGAAGATTTTTTTTCTTATTTGTTATCACTGTGTGACCTGGTTCATGGCTGTATGTGTGACTTGCCATTCTGAATTGTTCTGAACTGACAGTCTACAACAAACACAATTCCTCTCTCACACACATCCCTCCCCACCCTCAGAAAGCAACAGCTTTGCTTGCTGGATTTTAAACTCCTGTCTAAAGATGAGAATTCATAGTGATTTGAATTTCCAGGCGGGCGTAAATGTCCTCAGATACCAGATTGCCTCATCAAAATTGAATGTGATTTTTACTTTGCGGCTCATAAAATATTTGTTAACCGAGCTGGCCATTTTCTCTAAGCAGATATAAGATGGCAGGTTTTTGGTTGCAATCAATGATATTTAGAACATTACCATTTGATGGGAGGTGAATTTGGATGTTCTTCCTTGGACATCATAGCTAGAATTGGACACTGTCCAATTGCTCTTAAGATATAATGTAGCGACCTTCTCCAGTTGGTAATCTCTATATGTTTTGGGACTATCGCTCTCAGCATTCTCAGCCAGCAAGATAAAACTGAATGTACAGCCATGATAGTTGTGTAATAAATTCTGGTCTTTTCTTCTTCTAGAGGATGAAGATTTTTCCATCCTGTTAAGTGCTTTAAAAGGTGAGCTATCAAGGAAGCTTTTAGACCATCTCCGCTGTAAATCAACTAGCGATTTCTCCTTCACTGCTCTGCCTGGAAGAGATCCGATTAGGAGTGGTCAGTGAGGAGCATATGCCGTTTGAAATCTCACTGTAGTCCGGCTCAGGTTTTGAAATTCTGGGCTTGCTTGAACAGGGACATTGCCTTCTGTAGCCTAATTCAATAATTACCTTCAGTAATTCCACACTCTTTGCTCTGCTTTTTTTCTTCAGAGTACGAGCACTGTGTCAGCAGCAGAGCAAAACTTCCTTCTCTGGTGTGTGTGATCACGGGTAAGACCTTTTCATGGCTCATGTTTTAAAATCAGCCTTCTGGTTTCTTCCCACATTTGGAGCTGCTGAATAAAATGCTTTCATTTAGCAGTGGGAGCATCCGAAGCCCAGCTGCTTGAATGGCATCAGATCCTTGCTCTGAGCACTTATAAACCAAGTCATACAAGTGATAGGAAGTTGGTGCTTGGTCCCACAACCCTTCTGGATAATGTGTGTTTCTCTTATAAAAGGCAAAGGGCCTCTGAAGGAGCATTACAACACGTTGATGGCTACTCTGCACTTCAAGCACATCCAGATTTGCACCCCCTGGCTGGAAGCAGAAGACTATGCCCTGTTGCTCGGCAAGGGAATTTTTATTTTTCTCAGGGGATTATACTAACATTCAGGGAAAGGCTGCTTAACGTACCTTTTTGCCTTTGGCAAGCAATTCTACATCCGCTCAACTCTCCCTTCCATTTCTCCTACAGGCTCAGCCGATTTAGGCGTTTGTCTTCATAAATCCTCCAGTGGTTTAGATTTGCCTATGAAAGTGGTGGATATGTTTGGCTGCTGCTTGCCCGTGTGCGCCGTGCACTTCCAGTGGTAAGGGCCATTTGCATGTGGATGTTATAGCTTGCCCCCCCCACCCCCGACACATTGAATGTTTTTAAAACAAGGAATAGACGAAATGCCTTCTGAATGCCTTCCCCAGCCTTGGGCCTTCCACTGAGGCTTTGGTTTCATTTCCCCAAATTCTGGGGGTTATAGCTCCAACCTGCACTGGAAGGCACCAAGCCTGGGAAAATCTGATTGGTGGTGGTTCTGTTGAGAGCTAAGTTCAGAGATAAGGGGGACCAGCTGGGCAGACACAGGCAGAAACCAGGAGCAGGCTACTTTGCGCAAATTCAGACGCACCCTTTTGATTCAGAATGGCCCTTAATAGCGTAAACTGATTTTCCCCCCTCCCCAGCCTACTAATGAGATCTTTTTCTTCCCTGCTATTTCTTTGCAGTTTGCACGAGCTTGTGAAACATGAAGTGAATGGCTTGATATTCAGGGACTCGGGTGAACTTGCGGAACAGCTGAAGGTTTGAGAATGCTTCTCAAATTAGTTCTTGATTGTGCTGTTTGGGTCATTTACATAATTATCGATTTGGAGACTTTAGGGCTGAATTATCACCATCTGCAGTTCTTCTGTACCTCCTTTGAATTTGAGAATGAATATCTAGTGCTCAGAAGTTTTCTTCTGTTAGCAGTTCCTTGATAATCCTACATCTTGTCATTTTACGGTGCTGATGTGTATGCTAGTTTTGGAGATGGCACTGATCTTGTATCTTCCAAAGTCCCATTTGGAAAAAAATAATTTTGTTTTCATTATCTTAATCGCTGGTTCAGGAAGTCTGATCTTTGCAGACTAAGACGCCAGATACTCCTACACCTGGCTCATCCCTTTTTGCAGCTTTTGTTGCTTTTATTTTATTTATCAGTTTATTAAATTTATATGCATTTATCCATTTATATTAAATTTATATTTTAACTTTGGATTTTATATGATCTCTAGACCTAATCTGTGGTCCAAACTTAGAAACTCCTCAATAGATTGCTGCTTCTGAGTTTTAAAATTCATGAGAACTTAAGACTGAAAGTCAGGTGTAGCAAACAAGGACGTGTTACTAAATACCTGTAAGGAGAGGAGTTAGACAAGGATGTGTATTTAATTATCATATAAATTCCCTGGTGCCTCATCCAAGCAATATCACTTTCCATCCTCCTAAGCTAGCCCATAGGCATATCAATTTATTGTTGTATGCCAATGATCCAGCAATTTTGTCCTTGATCCTGTTGGCCTTCAAAGAGTTTTGCTACACTTCATTTTTTATTGCAATATTAAGAATCAGCAATAAATTTTGCTGAGATCAAGATCTTAATGTTTTCTAAAGCTCCAAAACAGTGGATCTGGCATTGATCAAAAGCTTGAGATATTCAGGGGAGTGGTTAGGAGGCAGATAAAAAAGGAAAGTATGAAATTGATTAGTCTTGTCAATTTCGAGCTGGCTATCCCAGTGCCGCCAGGGGTTAAGTGTTCTAAAGAAGGGGGGAGTGGGGAAAAGGAAAGCACACTTACGGTCATGTGATTTCCCACTTAACGACCGCTTTGCTTAACAACAGTGTTGCCAGTCCCAATTGTGGCCACTCAACGAGGTCTTCCTGTAATCCATTTGAATTTTCCATCTAGTAGATAAATTTAATTATTCTTGGAAAAAAAGCTACACTAAGAAAATTGAATGACTATGCTTTTCCTGTGATGCTACTTTGCCACTGGGGCCAGGTTGAGATAAATTAATCTTAAAACAAAGGATTTTAGGTATAGAAGGTCAGTTAGAATTTGCTGTTTGCCCCCAGGGTGTATTGCTATAGATATGTAATATAACATAGTTACAAATTATAGAAATGCATTTATTTTACATCATACCTAGACACTTATATGTGATATAAATACATAAATGAATTTGTATAATTATATAAATACACTCAAGGGCAAATGGCAAATCATTTCTTTTTTTTTTTATAAACTTTATTAAATTTCAATAAAAAATAAAATGTAAAATTAAGAAAAAGAAGAGAAGAGAAAAAGAGAAAAGATCAGAAAAGAAATACAAGAAGAAAAGAAAAAGTAAGAAGAGAGAAAAAGAGATAACTTCCGACTTTCTTTGGTACAGACATAGGCGTATAATACATTCACCTCTTGCTCTAATGTTTAAAATGATACAAAATAAATCTATATCAATGAAAAATATAAGATAAACTAATGCAGAGTATTTCTGCAAAGTATATCAGTCATCCATCATTTCTAATCAGTTTTCAGATTTCCAACCAGCCATTTGATGTCAAACCAGAAAGGTGATATCTGTATCCAAAAACTGATATCAGAATTCAACCCCCAGATTTAGAAAAGGTTTTCAGGCCAAAGCTGTCTTGGAGGGGAAATTCAGGAAAATTCTCTTTGCAGCACAATGTGGCCCTTGTGCTGGAGTCACAGAAGCTCCCGGCTACGTGCTTCCCTCTTCCTGGTTGTACCTTCCCAGATCTCTTACTTAAATTTCCAGGGCGCTCTGATAAGTTTTATTGGCACTACTTACTAGATGACAAATATAATTTTATTTCTTTAAATGTCACATTTCAAGAAATGTAATTTAAATTGCATTTAAATCTGTGTGTAATGGTCAGTAATGATCAGCGATTGTAGTTTTAGATGTCTGTTTTGTTCTGCGGTGTTCCTGATGGCCATAAAGTCATTCATTCATTTATAGCCCTAATTGCTCTTCAACTATAGGAAGGCCATTTATTATTAAATTGCATTACTGTTGATTTACCTCTAGTTGTTTTGCTTTTTATATAGTAACATTTATCCTCCGCTATTCTGGACTGCACTAAATTATAATACACATAGTTTCAGTGGTAACATTAGTTATAAATTTACCTGTAGATTTGGTGATATAGTGGTTTAATAACTTTTTGTTAGTCATTCTGATCTTTCGCTATTTTTCCATAGTTTTTATCTATTAACATTTATATCATGCAGTTTTGTACTGCGTGAAATTACACTGTAGTTTTCATAATCTTAATATTTTAGTGATATGATGTCATAGTTTGTTTTAGTAGTTCTGAATGTTATTTTTCCACATCTGATGGGCTAGCTCAGTGGTTCTCAAACTTGGCAACTTTAAGATATGTGGATTTCAACTTGCTGGGGAATTCTGGGCGTTGAAGTCCACACATCTTAAAGTTGCCGAGTTGGAGGAACACTGGGCTAGACTGTTCCTATTGGATTGGTTGCAAATGTTCATCATCCATGTTGCTCAGTGCATACTGCTCATTTTATCATGTTTGTTTTTTTGCCTCGCAGATGCTTTTTGGGGAATTTCCTGCTGTGGAAAGCAAGCTTGCTTTGTTCCGAAGAAATCTTCGCCTGGCCAAGCAGCAACGCTGGGATGAAAGTTGGGAGCAGACAGTATTTCCTCTGTTTAGCGACAAATCGGATTAGCTTATAATAAATTAGTTAATTGATAAATTATGTCCTTTTCAAATTTTGTAATATCCTGACCGTGTTTGAAAATTTAAAAAATGCTTTAAATAAGAATTTTATGACCAATTTTATGTTGAATAAAAATGGCATTTTATTTTGGTAAATTAAAAAAAAAACTTACGTAAAACTTGGTCACAGACATATGTAACCTTTCCTATTTTTGACCTTCAATTAGTCACATTCTAGGCAAACCCAAGCACCAGTTCATAGACGGGAATTAGCATTATATTTGAATTGTGATTTCTGGTTTACCATTTTCCAAATTATAACCTGAAGTCAGGGTTTGTTTGGAGCTATAAGCTAGGAATCCCAGTTTGACTGTAACTCCAAAGAATCTAATGTTGTAGTTTCCTGGTTTGGTATAAGTTCCTTCTGGCAGAAAGGTAGGGTAGGGAACTGGATTCAAGGCAGCTCTGGTGTATTGTTCTGAGCGTATACAAAACAACTGAATTGAACTTCACAACAGTTGACCTGCTTCCTAAGCCTGCACACCTCTTTTAATTGAGATACCTTTCTCCCTTGAGGAATATATATAGCACATTTCTCAGCTTCCTCCGGTACTTTTATGTATCTTGAGCACACAGCAAGCTTCATTTTAAGATTCCGGGGTTCAAGGAATCAAACTGGCAACAAATGTTGGCCAAGAGTGGAAAAATGAGTTTGCTAAATGAGACCTTCTAAAGAGAGAGCTATTTTAGCTCGGATGTTCTTGACCTCACATGGTCATCAAGACTCCTTTTGCCTCTTTATTGCCTGAGCAACATATGGTGGGTTTATTATCATGTATAGTATAGATGATTGAAATCTCCTTGTCTTCTTCTATGTGCTGCACATGAGTCTGAGATGTTGTTGCCATACCAGCTGCCTAGACCATATGGAATCTGCCATTGATGGAGATTGTTATGTAATGTGACTTAGATGCTCACATAAAACAGGAGGTCTAGGATGAAGGATACTCAGGTTCAAGACCACCCTTGATTATGGAAACATGTTGATTGACTTAGTGCCATTGTTTTTCAGCCTATTCCTAACCTACTTTAGAGGGTGGCTTCTGGGGAAATAAATATGGAGGAGGGAATCCTGGCTATGTCTCCTAGAGAAAGTCTGGGTATCCCACAAGCAAACAAGAAATAAATGTAGATCACCTCTCTTCCTCTCCAAAAAATGTAAGAAAATGCAAGGCATTCCTTGGAGGTAGACAATACTAGATTCAATGTGTCTTTCTATTATGGCAAGATTTAACATCCTCTGAGTAACTCTGGTGATAGATAAGAGAATACTTTATCTGATATGTTTTTTAAAAGCTAACTTAAATGCATTTGAATATTATCTTCAGGAATATCTGTTTTTAATTACTTTCTCCAGTCTTTCTCAGTGGCACCTTTTTGGCAAGACAACAGGACACATTTTTTCAAGCCCATCTGTACCTATTAATGCGTGAGTGCATTTGCTACCTCTGAAACTGTTTGGTGTTCATTAAATCCATTGCTCCTTGTTTGTCCACTGCTAATTACCTTTGTGTTTTGGTGTACCTCTATGATGGGGTAAGTTAGGGGATTACTGACAAAAATATCTTCACATCTCCCTAAACTATAATTCCCAAGGTTCTTCATAGAGAAAGAGAAAGAAACAGTGGTAATTAAAATAGTATGAAATGCTTATCAGATTTTGTTGAGCTAGATTATCTCTGAGAGTTGCGTCTGGCCAGAGTCTAGGACATGAGAGACGAGTATTTATATAGAAAAATCCTCTATTTGGAAGTGCTTTCAGAAGACCATCCTATATTTAAAAGGGCATCTGGCTAACCATAAACCTCCTTAAGGAAGAGGCTGTGGGTCTGGAAATTGCTTGAGAGCAGATGAGTGAGTACATACCGGTAACCTGCTCACAGGAATCTTCAGAATGGTGAAATTTGTCTCTATAGTACTTTAGTCATCTCCATGTTATATGACACCCATCCACCTTACCACTTGTATTCCTTTTGTCTTTTGATGGTGAGTAAGTGAACATCTTGTCTGGAATATTAAGGTGATAGGTTTCCATAAGAGCTAGTGGATGATACTTGATCTCCAACTTCCAGAAGTTTTAGTAGTTTAAAAGAAAGGAGGAGGATGAAAGTAAGGGAACTAAGGGGACAGTTGTCAAATGAGACCTGGAAAATGTAGTGTTGGGATCTAAAAGCCTAGAAATGCCTTCTTGGGGCACTGCCTAGTTCTGTAGGTTCTTACCTTTGTAGATCTGATACAGGATGATGAACAAGTACAGTCTGTAGGGATTATTAAACCATGTCTCTTTCTAATCCGTATGTTTGTAAGAGATACAGATATCAGAAAACTTCAGGAAGACCCCATCTGCTTCTAAAGGGGTATTTTTAAGTCAAAAAGGGTTACACACTTACAAATGAGAATTTACAACTAGTTGGGGGTAATTGGCAGAGTTTGAATTTTGAGAACATGTCATAAGGACAATCACAAAATGGTTGTCATAATGGCATGGACAGTTACAAAACACCAGAAGCACACAATGAACTGGGTGGCAAGCCGTCACCATTTTATTTCCTCTGTCATCTACATGCGACCAGAGGCACTGTTGGAAATCCTGATGATCCTTAATGTTGATGGCTGAAATAGAGGCTCTTCCTTACAGCATGTTAGCACCTCTTTCATTTTTTAAAAATAAAAACATTCGATGAACCTGGATATGGTGGACACTAAGGAAAGTTGGCACATTTATTATTACTTCCTCGAGAGACATGGTTGGGACTCAGGGTTATATAGACTGTATTGCTTAGCAACAGAATGGCTTCATGTATTGGCTCAAGTGAATCTGGGGGTCAAGGAAAGATGTATTCAGATCTGGTTGGGCATTGATCTCTATAATACTTTGAGCTCAAATGTGCCAAAAGTGAAACAATTCTCCCCAAAGACTTGAGTTGGCTGAATTTTTTGGGTCACAGTTCTGCAGTCTAATGTAGACGAGCAAGAATTTAAAAGGAGAGGAAGATGAAGAAATAGAAGAAGGGGAGGAAGAGGAAGAAGAAGAAGAGCAGCAGCAGCGTGCATTTCAAATGAGCAGAAGCAAGTTGGGAGAATGCTCAACTGTCAAGACCAGGTTCTTCATGCTTTTTTCTTTTTCCACCTTCTCAATATGCATTGGCCTTAGCAGCTGAAAAAAAGCCTTTTACCAAAGGTTATTTGTAATTATGGCACTCTCTTAACTGTGGTCAAGAGGTGAGTGGTGCGACGTGAATAGATATTAAATAATTATAATTCGTTTCTATGAATAACGCCTTAAAAAAAAAAAGATGAAGGAACAAGTTTTTTCTTCTGATAATATTCAGTTTTGTAGCCATTGAATGAAACAGCTAGCCAGCTCTTTGTTCTTGAAATAAGGTTGTATTAATATTGGAAGAATGATTTTTATAGTTTTGGCTACTGGGAACCAGCTTGCTGCCTCAAAGCCATCTCTCTTATGGGTGGAGGCCTGAAGTTCTTCAGATGTTGAGCTACAACTCAGCGTTCCTCACCATTGGCTGTGCAAAGGGAGGTTAAATAGAAGAATAGGAATGGGGAAATAACTTTTCTTGAGAGTCTAAGTGCCACAACAAGATACTACTCATGATGGATCAACCTACTCACTCCGCATGACCTTCACAAATATCATCCGCAAAATATTTAGTTTCTGCATGAATTTTTCAAATAAAAAGTATCTCTGAAAATAAGATGTCAAAATGTCTACATTTAAATGCTTATCTACCCTGGATGGAAAGACAGCTTATAAATATTTCAATGCTTATATGTATGTATGCATGTCTGTGTACTTTTCTTTCACTTTAAATAGCAAAATGCTACGTGCACAAACATGTTTGTCTCACCAATATTATATTCCATAAAAATATTTTTTTTATTGGGGTTTATCGCCTGCTTTTTCATCTCTAATAATGGAACGGCCAATATCTGAAAATTTGATCTCCACTTTTGAAGTGTTTAGCAGAAAAAAAGAGCTACTCAATAGGCCTGGAAGATATCGTATTCACCCAAGATGCATAATTCATGTAAGGCTGTTGGCATTTAGTTATAAATTCTTATTCTTGAATTCTTACTGAGAATACTGCTTTTTCCTTTCCTTCTAAAGGAAATCCTTTGATTGCAGTAAACCATAAGAAACAGAAATGTTGGTTATTTAAATCTGTTGCAAATTCAAGTAAGAACAGAGAGAACAAAACTTTCTGTTTATCCAATGGGACTGATTAGAGTCAGCTGGAAAATGATCTTAACTGCAAGTCTTATGTGAATAATGTGGATTTTTGACCGGCCTTGTCTCTTTTTTAATGGAAAAACATAGGAGGTCTTTGGGATTAGCATCTCCATAAGAGAGCAAGAATGAAGTAAAACAAATGTTTTTCTCCCAAATGGGTGTCTTCCAACTCTTTTGGCCTCAGTTCTGATTGAGTGAGATGGAAGTTGTAGAGGGTGCTAGTTTGGGAAAGACAAATCAATGTTTACGATGCCAGGGAACAGATGCTTCCCACAGACAGTGTTTAATTCCCTGCACTTAATGGTTGTTATTGACGGGGCTGAATTTTCAAGTTGCATTTTTATGGGCCAGTTTGGAAACCACCTTAATGCCTGCAGTAGATAAATATTATATATCAAGAAGCAAACCTTCTTTTTAAGATACAGATCTTTGCTTTTTTTCCCAACCAAAATATAATGAGAAACCTTAGTTTGGCTTAGTTCTCTCTGCTGCATAAAGAGGTAACAGTATAATACATGAAACAACCCTTTGTAGGACCAAACACTTTGCAAGCATCACTTGGAAGAAAACGCCCTGTCCTTCTGATTGTAGAGGCAGCAATAGAGAGTCATACTCAAAAGGTTTCTTGAGGATAGAACAGAAGAACCTTCCTCATCATGCTGAAATGTTGTGTCCTCTTGCAACCTGTGTCTAATGGTGGCCACTATTATGCTTCTGAGAATCTCGGTTGCCTGCTGCTGCATGACAGATATATATGGTTGGGTTCAGGCAGCTTATTTAGGTCTGTAACATTGTACATCTGTAACATTGAATTTACCCTCTGCTCAGGGAAGGAATCCAGAACATCAAGTGGTTCCAACAAAGAGGACTTCTCTGGGTCATTGGTTCCACAGTCAAGGTCTTCTTGATGCTAGGAAGTTTATTTGGCATTAACACTGGAATCTGCCTTTTAGCAAGAGTACAATGAATGATATTTCATAGATTCAAATCAATATGTTTTTAACATCTTACAAAGCAATGGCACTATTAATCTTAATATACACTGTATATGTAGTCAATTTACATTTGTATCTTCTATAGTCTCTCATAATGGGATGTAGATGGTTGATTACTGTTTTCATCATTAGAGTATTGTATAAAATCATACCATACAGGAAAAAAAGTAATTTTCTCCCTTATTTTCTTTAACTGGTTTCAATTTATATGTTAATTTTTCTGTTAAGGGACCATACTTTATCATGCCAATTTTTCTAAGATGTCCCTTCTAGAGATTTCCAGTATTTGCGCTTACTAATCTAGCAGCCATTAATAACAAGGGTAATAGTGCCTTACGTTTCAAATTTGTATTCTTTCCAGATAATAACAACAAAAGCCCTAATGATGTTTTCTTTATTCTTTTATTAGTAATTAATGGGATTTTCTGAACTAATGTATCCCCAACTTTACAAACGTTTGCAGATGACCGCCACGTAAGGAAAATTGTAATTTTTTTCCTGGCTACCCCTCTAACATTTATTCGAACTTCTTTTTTGTTTTGTTTTTCATGTATGAAAACTGAACTGGGTTAAGATACCGACAGTGTAAAAGCTTGAAAAATGCTTTCTGCAAAGCTGTCGAGAGAGACTTAAGAACGTTCCTTGTTTTCCTTCCCAATTTGTCATTCATCTTTGGGTATGTTTCTCTCCAAAGCTAACTCTTTCTGTACTCCCGGTTTCAGATGGGATTAGCCGTTTGTGAAATTGTGAACAATTCGTATGTTAATATTATTAATTACTATGATTAATATATGAATTGCCATGGGTGTGTGTGTGTGCGTATAAAGCAAGCATCTGTAAAAAAAAAAAAAAAATAACCTCCCCATTTTTTAAAGTATTGTCTGCAATATTTCTGCCGGTCCGGTCCGATCAGATAGAGTGGGGTCACTCCAGGTTCAATGAAATGTTGTCATCTTGCAGGACCAGGGAAAATGCACCTTCTCTGTTGAGATACTTGCCCTCTGGAACAGCATCTCTCCAGAGATACATGCGGCTTTCACCTCTGAGATGTTCTGTACATCTCTGAAGACTTGTCTCTGTTCCCAAGCTTGGGGTTAGGGTATCCATGGAGCGCCCAGCAATTTTTCGCTTGTTATTTGTGTGTTTCAGTCTGGGTGTTCATGTTTTCCTTTTTATATGATCTATTCTTTTGGAATTTAAAGCTGCCGAGCGTCTTTTTGGAACCAGGGAGCCTTGGAATCTAATAATAAACAAATGGAGAAGTCTTGATCTTCCTCTGCCGTTAATTCAGTTAATTCAGTTTCTAATTTCTCTACGATTCTGCTTTAAAGAATAACCTCGAGTGGGTATGCAAATATTTTACATGATGTAGCCCTTTCTATTTTCAGTCAATAGACTGTTTCATTCTGTTGCTATTAAAAATATAGAGGATAAGAAGGGTAGGAGTTATTTTCAGCACTGAATGAGACAAATATGACCTCTATATCTTAAATATCTTGAACAAATCTGTTAGTTATCTGTTTTAAGGGCAATAAATCTTTTCTAAAAAGAAACCATCTATTTAAAGGTTTAAAACATACATGAATGTTTTATGATTTTACCCAACATCTTTCATTATTAGAGACACATGTTTAAATTGAAGTGCCTGAAGATATAATTTCATTTGAAATACTCTCTCTTCTATCATGAAGATGTAAATATTGCAAACTAAAGCCAAAAAGCTCAGCTTTAGATTGCCAATATTTTAATTGTTTGTGAAGCAAATTAAAGGGAATGGTTTGCAAGAAGAAAGAGCAGCTTTGATAAAACAGACATTTTAATAGCTGTGATTTTACTCAGAATGAATTGACTTAGATTATGTAGTCAGGTTCTGTATAATTGTTTTGCAGAGACAGCGTAGAAACATTTTTTTGTAATCGGTATAACTAAATAACAAAAGCTTTTATGCAAAATGGGTACTGTATTTCTATTGATTTAAAATAGTGTTTGAACAGTGCTTAAATATGAATAAAGGATCCAAGCTGCTATACGTTTTTCTGTAGAGCGAAACCAAGATTATCTTTGGATCTTCATTGTTGTGAGTTGGAAAGCAGCAACATGAAGGTTGTAAAATACATTTTTATTTAAAAAAGGCAAAGAATTAAGGAGTAAGACCTCACTCAAGTGCTGATTAACAAGGTAGCTTTTCTTTGGGGGTGGGATAAGGTGACAAAACTGCTTTTGCATTTCCTTCTTAAATTTGGTCCTATAAGACAGGGTTCCACAACCTCAGCAACTTTAAGATGGGTAGACTTCAACTCCCAAAAATCCCCAGCCCGCCTTGGGGATTTTTGGAGGTGGAGGCCCCCCCACTTTAAAGTTGTGAAGGTTGAGAAACCTTCTATTAGAG